GTGAAAACTTTTCACAATTAAGCACATTTTTTATTGCCCTGAAATGATTTCGAAAACTTCTTTCCGATACCTTTGCTCACAAAGATTTTTACGGGTTGGTTCGTAAGTTTTTCTGCGCTATTTTTAACGAGGCTTTGAACATTTTCTTCTTCCAAAAGTTTTGTTAATATATTTTATGCTTCTATTGTTTAACTGTTTATAAATTTTGTTGCAACTTTTTGTTTGATTTTTTTTCCTTGCTATTTTAGTACATTTTATTTAATTTTGTTTTGTTTTATTGACAACCTAAACATGTCACCTTCTTTTCTTTTGACGCTTCCGCTGCCATTTTTATTACAAAGGACACAATAACTACAAGGAAAGTTACAATAAAAATTTGCTACTGACCAAAAGTGGAAAGTGAGAGCAATTAATTTAAGTTAAGTGCTCGTTAAATGCGTCTTTGGGGTATTGTTAAGCGGAAGCTTTATTAATTAAATTAGTTTGAGAAGTTACAATGCCCTATAAGTGTGATATGCTGCACTGTTAGAGTGTTATGAGTTGGGCCGTTAGTGGGTTTAAATAGCTACGTGAATAGTTCTGGATTTTCCCCGAGTATCCTTATCCTTACAAGCCAGCAGCTTGTAATGGCGTCACTTTACAGGAAAGTTGCTCAAGTGAAATCTGATATGTGCGCAATTTCGTGTTAAGAAAACAGCGTTAAATGCGATTTAAGTTTTAAGCGGTAAAAACTTAAAGTGTTAACTATTTTAAATTAAAATAATAATGAAAAACTTAATACATTTTTTATTATATTTCCATATTATTTTACAATTTTGTTTTTATCAGAAACGCTTTCACATGCAACATTTCATTCCGTCGGATTGTGAAATGCATTTGTAATCTTACTCCACGGTTTTCTGTCAGTAGCGTGAAGTGTGACTTTCTTGAGAGTCTCCTTCTCCTACTCCTGCTCTTCGTCCTCCTCCTCCTCCTTTAGTACGATTTTTCATTCACGATAAACGTCGGCTGGCACATGTGTGTACGTACGTGTTTGGTGCTTAAAAAATTTGTTGCATACTTTTAGTTGCCTATCGTAATGCATTACTAAATCACATAAATCACTTGCATGTCACGTTATACATTATTTAAGGTTTTTGCTTTTCATTATAATTCCTTTGAAAAAGTATAAAGATTTAAGGATAACATGCATGAAATAATTGAATTTATAATTAGATTTGTGTGTAAAATGAGCAGGCGGCAAGTCTAATAAAGGATAATTAAGCTGCAAAACGCGTTGCAAAAAAGAAAAAATCAAAGTGAAAGGCAAACAAAGAACTCGCGATAATAAATGAAACGGAAAGAAAAGTTAGTTAAAGCAGACGAGATTAGGATACAGTAAATTATAACCAAAGGAAAACTTTTATTGTTGAATTAATTTACTTTAAAAAGGAAATTAATTTTTTAAATTCACCGTAAAATGAAAGCATAATTAATACATGTTATAAAATAAGAAAAAATATTATTTCCTCAAGAGTTATTAGTATGTTTTAATATTGATAACAAATCATTAAAATTTCACACGTTTTATTTATCTGATATTGATCCCGGAAAGTGAATGCCTGAGACTCGCAGGGACTAAAAAGATTCCCTCTGATTCCTACAGATTTTACCCTACACAGGGACTGCGTAAGTATTACTTCGAGGTAGGGTTCCTATTAGTCATTTACGACTTCCATGGGTGCGACTTGTTTCAGCTATCTTCTGTCGAGAGGTACTTTTTATTGTACTTATTGTATGTTCTGCGGTATCGTCCAAAGAGACTTAAGAAGAGACTTTATAAATACAGAAAAATAAATTGATTAGTACGATTTTAAAAGTAATGTATATATTTACTGCAATATGTAAACAATATGTATAACATATGTATGTAATGAATACTCGTATTATAAACTACCATAAAATTAAGTAAATAAAGGTTACTATGCTAGTGTTCAAGTGTAAACGCATACCTACTATTTCATCTTAAAATAATTAGGATGTTCAATGAGAAATATAATTAATTTATTTCGGTTCATACGGGTGAACAAATTTTTTAGTATTTTTATCATCTCATTATAAATTAGTATTTATTTAGTCACCAACGCTATAACAAATGCTTCAATATAGTTAACATTTCATTGTAATTAGTGTTTATTTAGGCATATGTGTCGTAACAAATATTTCGGTATGGTTATAAGTTCTATGTAAAAAGGACTTTTTATTGAAGGGACAGTATAAATCAGGAAGTCTTAAATGTGAGTTTATTCCTAGTTTTAAAAAAAAAATTCATAACGACCTTAGTTATAAAATTTTGAACCATTAGTTAAGAATTTAATTGCTACAATTTGTGCACATTCGTCTCAAATGTGGGTGAATGTCAAGTAATTCTCTTGCTTTGAGATGGTCTTGTAATCGCAATGAAACGCGTTGTTTTCAGTTCGAATAGTTTATTAAAAATAATCCAAAAATGAATCTTAAAATTAAAGCAAAGCTCAGCGGACAGCTGTCTTGAGCTAAGCATTACATTGTTTCTTATCGCTAAGTACATAACGACGCAGCGTATGTACATCTTATTCTAGTAAGTGTGCATATGTGTGATTGCTGTTTCAGCATAAACTCACAAACGGTTAAGTACGTTGTGTGAGGTTTCATATTCCCGTTGCATAAACAGTGCAACAAAGTATGGGAATGGAATGTTAATAAAATAATGTCCTGGTAAGCATTCAGACACACATATACACACTAGAATCTTCAAGTTTTGATTCGTATTTGCACTTATTTATTTGCACGAATTTTATTAAATTTATCTTTAAAAAGAAGAATACGTAGGTTTTATAGCCAGGAGATACCAGTTATTCAGCAAAGAGTTTTGGATTGCCTAATTAGTTGAATTTTGAATGATCAGGTGTTGCCTTACGGTTGGGCACCATTAGATCAGATACGCTTAATTAAGGCTTTCTATAGAAGTACTTTATAATCTAAACAATATTGCGTCTTCTTGTTAAAATAAATTAACTAATGAACTTTTGTGATTTTAACTTTTTTTTTGGGTTCCTTTAGCTTTAAAATGCATATGCCAAGTTAGTCTTCAGTCAAGGTGAAGTCCTACCTTAAAAACAGTTTTTGCTTGCGGAATGATGGCATCATTGAAGATGACTAAAGGACAATAGTCTTCGCGTAGAGTAAATGGGAATCATACTTGCTTGTACGTGACTGTGACAGTTTACTAACCGGGTTCAATTGAGGTTCGTTATATACAACGCTTTAGGTCAGAGCTTATAAACGCTATGTCATCAGCAAATGTAGATGTAACAATTTGAGGGTTACTAATCAAGTTTGAAGTAAACAAAATATTTACTACTTCAATAAACAGGCGTAATTTGGAAGATGCCAGCCATTATATCCTTGTCAATCCTAATAAAGATTTCAAATTTTATAAGGACCTTCCTATTCTCTAAATACAAACCTAATATCTTGTGAACATTTGTCGGAGTGTTTAGTTTAAT